CAGAGATGCAGGCAGAAGTACCACTGGTTCAAGCATCTTTTTTCCAAACCAGTTTGTAGTTTGAATCAATATTGTTTAATTGTCCCAAAGAGCAGCAGTTTGGCAATATTGTAACAGCCTGGCTTTTATTTGTATAATGTACTCCTAGTATGTCTGCAGTGCTAAAAGCTACCAGGAGAGTAGGATTTAAAAAATTATTTTAAGTGCTTCCTGCCTGAGATCTCCAATATTAAGACTTTGTGGAGAGAGTGCTTGTAACTGAAAAGATAAATCTAATGGGCCCTGCCAGATACCCAGATGTGTGTGTCAGTCGTGAAGGCCAAGTTCTTTCAGGCACCTGCAGCACTTGGAGATCTTGTGTAACTGCAAAGCTGAAATACATTGTTACAAAAGAGCACTAATTGCATAATAGTGTCACATAATGTTCCATAGGCTAGTTGCACAGATGTCTGCCTAACAGTCTGTGATGCTAACTTTTTTGTTACTACCTTATTGTCGTGTGAACTCTTCCCCCCAAAAAATCACCTGCTGGAAATTGTAGTGCACATTATATTTGATAATTATGGTAAGAGCAAATAAATCAGCATGTGACTTGCAGGGAGCAGACAAACCAGCAGGGTCCCTAGCTGCTACTTGGTTACTTTCTACAAGGAAAGATCTTTTTGCAATTCTTTCTGCTTTACGAAAAACAAACTGCGAATGTTATTTTAGGATGAATTATTCAAGAAAATATGGTAATATAATGGCAAATGCCTCTGCTTTTTTGCAGCTCATTGGAGTGTAGGCATTCAGCTTGCAGATCTTTTATTTAGGTGCTTTAATATGGGTTTAGAAACCTAGGTTGAGGCAGCCAGGTTTGGAAACTTGTGGCTTATGGTGCAAAATAGACCATTCTAACACCCAAGGCAGAGTGTGTATGAAAAGGAAGGAGGCTGAGGATAGGGCAAGGGAGAGCTATCAGACAAGCTTTTGGGCATCAAGTGTTTCAAAACAAGAAAGGCCTCGAGCCTTGGGCAAGCTTAAAACCTGGCCTGCCTGCACCATCCATGTCATCTGCAATAGCTGGCATTAATTATATTCTGGTTCTTGCAATCTTTAGCAATCAAATTGGCTTTTATTTTGCCCAGGTTTGCTACTGTCATCTGAGCTTGGACCTCCTAATTGTCCTTTTGCTAGTTTTGTGCCTGTGTTCACTGTTCCGGTCTCCTGGAAATTCTCTGTAATTCCGAGATTTGTTAAACATGAGCGGGCCAGACACCTCAAGCCAGCCCTTGGATTCTTGAGTTCAGGTTATCCTGGCCTGCTACTTTCAGAAAGTTTGTCTTTAGAGGAGGCTGGTTAACATCCTTTTCAGTTGCAAATGGTCTGGAAAGTACTTGCTGCATTCTTGTGTCTTTTGAGTTAATTCATCCTGCTTCACTCAATAAATAGTTCCTTTAGATATTTGGAAAAATTCTGCCCCTTCATTATTAATGGTTTTACCATCTCCATCTAATAATGGATCTCTACCAGTGCTTGGGATGTGTTTGGCTCCTGATAAGCTTACAAACTTCCTCACTATTATTCCTGCCAGCCGCAATTTTACTTTTTCTGTAGTGTTCCCTATCAGTAGTCTGCACTTTATCACTTGCGATTTGCATTGCTGCTATGCAGTTCTCCTCTTTTTCTTTGTTGTAAATTTATAACTGGCCCTTTAACTCTGTGGTTAAAACATTGTGTGCGTTTGCTCGGTGTTCCCTGTGGATTAAGGAAACCTCACCTTTGGGCCCTCTAATAAGCTTCTATTTAAGCTACCTACTTTTTGTCCTCTTAATTGTTCCTTCCAGTTGATTGTACTCAGAATTTTCCTCCGCTTTGGGAAATGAGCCCTCTCAAAACCCCAAGTGTATGTCTGTTGTTAGTTTGCATTGTTGTTAGTTTGACTGTAAAGATTAGAATTAAGTTGTGGTCACTGCTCCCTAGGCAGGGAACTGCCATCTTCGCATCCAGTGCTTTGAATGGTCTTTGTGCCATAACGAGGTCCTAAAGAGCGTTAGCTTTCGAGTGCAACATTGATGATCTCTTGTACATTTGTAGAAAATCTAATCTCGTCTTGGCTGCATAAAGCTCCCAGCTGAGGTTTTTCCAAAGTAAAGTCCCCAAAAGAGCGCAGTTCTCCTCCCCAAACCTCAGTGAAGTGCCTAAGCTGTTATCTCATCCCGTGTTCTGGATTGACTTGATGGTCTGCAGACGACCCCCGTGGTAACTCCAGGGTTGGTTAGTTTAGCACACTGAGTGACATATGTGACAGGTCCTGCATTTCAGCTGTCAGGCCCCCTTGCGCAGAGAAAGGTGCCTCTAGTGCCATGTCTCACCAGCTCTTCTTTTTGCCTCCTTTGTTGGCATGCTATCTCAGTGACTTCAACATTTTAGCCATGTGAATCATCCTGCCAGGTTTCAGCATTGCCAGTTTTGTCATTATTTTTCTCATCAGTGAGAACATCTGATTGGTTTTTTTAGCTCGTTATCCAGATTCCTCAAATCAGGTGATAAGTAATTGGAAAAATCTTCTTGTTCTGTCATGTCAGTTCAGTTTGCTTGGGACGCTTGAGTTTAAGTTGGGGCTGCATTTAGTGTCTTAGCAATGCTGTGGGGGTGGGTGCTAGCTGGGTGCCTCCTGGCTGCTCCAGTTGACATGATCAGCTCCTCGCCCATGAGATGCAGGCTGTTCCTTTTGCATCGCCCTCTTCCCCCTGTAATGTGGTTCAGTGCAAATTTTTTGCAATTTCTTAGTCTAATAAAAGGTCTCATCTCTGAACCAAGAGTTCTAGAGTTTTGCATTTCTTTTTGTCTCGGACCAGCATGGTTACCAAACACATCCCTGAAGCATAAAACTAGAGACTTTATCTCTATCCTGGTCATACAGCTCTTTACTTCTGAGATTATTCTCCTTTTTTCTGGGACCAGAAAAAACTCCAAGAACATGGGACTTTTCTTCAGCTTCCTCTCAAGATCCCTAAAAACTGCTGTCATCTGATGCCAAATGACTGGCTCCAGTGTGGTGTTGGGAGATTTGCCGGGTGACTTTAACTGCCCAGACTTGCTGTTACATGCAGTTTTTCCTCTGATGGCACTGCTCTATCCTGCTGTGTCTTTGTTCCTTGCTGAATTATTTGTCTAGTCCCCTTAATGTGGAGTCACCCATGACAGATATCTGCCATAAAACAAAGGGCCTTCTTTGGTGTCTGCTTACCACACTATGAGGATGTGCATTGGGTATGTCCTCCATTCTGCTAGATGGATACCTGTATTGACACGCTAAGCATCTGTGCTAAGCACCAATTCTGTATTCCAGCAGAGCTACAGGGCTCCTTCCCTTCTTTTCCCTCTTTCCCCATCTCTGTCTTCTGATTTCCCATCTCACTGCTAAGCCTTTTCTTCTGGGGAGGTGGTGGTGGCAGGGGGTATGCTGGTGTGTTCCTGAGCTGGATTTCCTAGGAAGCTACCTTTGTTTGTTGCCTGGGGTTAAAACTTGCACTTTGTGGAACAAAAATCTCCCTGTTTTGGTAGAAAGGAAAACAAGGTCATCATGGCCTGGTCCCAGCAGTCAGCACTCACGGGTAATGAGAAATCTCTGGTGTACAATCACACCTAAACAGAAGGAACCAGCTTCCCTATGGTCCTTGGGATAAGAAACAAGGATGACATAGGAGAAGCTATGGTCTAATAAAATACAGGAACTGGTTCAGTTGTTAATTTGTTTTCCTTTGTCCTTCTTCCCCTCCTCGTTTGTTGCTGTCATTTGAATCTTGCCTTAAATGAAACTTTAGATAAGTGGTTCTCATTCTTTTTGGACTCGAGGCACCCTTCCATAACTGCTGTGAATTGTATGGCATCCTGTTGCAAAAACAAATTTATGTATTGCAGTGTTTGCTTCTGTGCATGGGGACCAGGCATTGGGAGTTGGGGGTCTATCGAGGCAGCGGCAAACCTGAGCTCAAGCTTATCTGCTTATTTCCTCACACCTTGTGGGACCCTTCAAAGATCCAGGTGCCCCAACATCCTGGTTGACCATAACTGGTTAAGAGCCTTCTCCTCTTCTGTGTTCGTATATGGGGCCAGCACAGTATGGCCTCGATTATGATTGGAGTCTGAATCATGTTGCCACAGCACAAGCCAAGTAACTTTTATTCTCTTGCTTTAACATGTCTCATACGTGCGGTTTGGTGAGATGATACTCGGGGTGGTATAAATGACAATTCCTGAACAGGTCTGCATCTTCTGCCATGTCCTATCTGTAGGCTGTACTGCCTCTTACTCTTAGTTAGTCTGAAACAGGCTGGCTTGCGAGTCTGAGCCTGAAACAAGATGTTCATGATGGATGGGAATTCAGACCCTGCTTTTGTCACCGTGGCCCTCAATTCCAAGAAACTGTTATTCTCAAAAGGCACCCACTCGTTTGCAGCAGGCTATGAGGCTTCTGGGAGATGTAGTCTGTCTGAAAATGTTGGCTGGAAAGAAATAAGATAAATAACCCTTCCCATTCCAGCTCCAGTATAGCAGTGCATCATAAATAGGAAATATGTGCAGAAGGCAGTTATTAAGCTTTTTTTAAATACTGCTTTTTCTCCTCAACATTCCCCCACATTCCCCCACCATGTAAGTTATTAAAATTAGACTGATAGTATTGTAGACCTAAGGGTAATGCATGAGAAGGAAATGTTTCCATAGCTAATCTATTCTCTTTTCTCTCTACCATAAAATGACTTAATGTACCTCGCAACTATTTGCGTACATTTTGTAATTAGCTGCATGTAAAAATTGAGGAAATGTGTTGTAGGAGCTGACTGGTTTTTTGAAGTGGTGGACTGGCTAGTCCTAGCGTTGTATCTGGAAGGTGAAATTGTGGGTTCTTGGACAAACTGGGAGTTTCATGTTGGGAAAAGCCTACTTTATTTAACTGTTGATTTTAAATATTTAACTCATTTCAGTTCTACTCCTAGTGCTCTTCTCCCAGTTGACCTTGTGCTGATTTGCCTTTTTTAGGTTCACGCGTGGGAGATCTCAGACCAGTTGCTACAGATCCGTCAGGATGTGGAATCGTGCTACTTTGCAGCACAGACCATGAAGATGAAGATCCAGACTTCATTTTATGAACTCCCCACAGACTCACATGCTTCATTACGGGACTCTTTGCTGTCCCACATACAGAACTTGAAAGACCTATCACCCGTCATTGTAACTCAGGTAAGACCTTCATTGCTTATCCTGATAGGGAGGGAAAGGAGAACCTCACACAACAGCTGTAAGTAGAGGGAATGCATGCCAGCTTTTAGTAATTCAGCTAAATAATTCAGCCTGCACTAGGCGTTCATTGTAAATGTGTTGTAAGGTTTCATCACTGCCCTTCTAAAACCATTCCTGCTAATTAAGGTCTGCTTTTCATAGGGGAAACCTATGCATCATATTTATCATAGCCAGGGAAAGCCTTTTTGAGAATGGGAGCGTTCTTGCTTCCTTTACTGTTGAACGAGAGCAATTTAAAAAAGGAAATCCATGCCTGGTATTCCCCATCACAGCAGTCTATAAACACGAGCTCATTTGTTCTTGTCTGTAGGTCAGCTTGTCAGTAAGTTAATAAATTGACTCTCTTTACTCTTGTCTGTATTGCTTTGAGAAGGTAGGAAGAGGAGCAGCGAGCCACGGATTTGTGTTTTTTTTCTCTGTGCAGCTATGGAAACAAAATGTTAAATTTCCCTTCAGTGTTCCCAGCTGACTGGGAGGACCTCTGCAGTGAGGTGCTACTGCATCTGCAGGGATGTGTCCGTCTCTGTCTTGAACTTCTGTCTTCTGCATGACATCTGCAGAGGTCTTGCCACTGCAGCACTGGATAGCCCAAATCAGCCTCTCTGTTCCGGTCGTAACTCAATCTGAAGCAGTTTCTAGCATAGAAGTTGATGAGCATTCTGCAGCTGGCTTCTGTAGGAGCAGGGTAGTGCCTAAAATTGTTCATAGCTGAGGAACCGTGGGCCACATCCCTATCAAACTAAACATAACCTGGCAGCATTTAAAGAGAAAGCGCCTTAAGTTTCTAGGGCAGGGTGCGTCTCTAGGCTGGCCAACTTGAGAGGGCTTGCTTGTTGTAGAGGAGATGCAAGCTTGTCAGTGAGTGAGAGGGCTGGGAAGGTAAGATGGGTGTTGGTTCAGCTCTGACTCTAGCCTGGTAGAGGTGAGTCACTTTGCCTGGGGATAAATGATCTGCCTAGCACTTGGATTACAGGAGATAGCTGTGCCACAAGAGTTTCTGCCAGGCAAATGCCCTAGTTCAATGCAGGAGAGAGAGGCTTCCATACTGTTGTCACAGTAGATTTCTTAGCCAGGGATGAGAAGCTGTGCTTAGCAGCGCAGCTCCCTCTACCTCCTATATGAGCAGCCCCTTTGGAAGGACAATAGTGTATTGCAAACAGGACCTGAGTGGTCTGGATGTACTTCACTGATGGCTCAGGGCTTTTTATCATTTTCTTCCAATGTTCTTGAGTAGAAGCTGAAAGTCTCCCTTCCACCTCCCAGCCCCTGCTGCCTTCTCAGCATGAGAATTTGACCTCTTCTTTCAAACAGTAATCTTTGGTTGTGTTTTCTCTCTTTCTCATTTTCAGCTTGCTTTAGCAATAGCAGACCTTGCCTTGCAGATGGCATCTTGGAAAGGCTGCGTACAGACACTGGTTGAAAAGTAAGTAACTATATCTGTGGCTGAAAATTCATCTGTGGCTGAAAATCATGTGAACCTACAAATGGATCCAGGCCTGGCACAAAGAATATAAGCTTCACCTAAAAATAATGCAGAAAGAAGGGGAATTTTATTGGCATGTACAACTACACTAAACAGCAAAGGTTCAAGAAGGTCACAAAATTGGAAACTTGTTTTTGTGACAGATCTGTGATTTTTAAAGTGGTTTTTGGATTATAATGAAAGCAGTAGGCAAGTCAGTTTTAGAAATATCTGAAAGAGTCAAGGCACATTTTGGGGGTGGGTGGGGGTCTTTCCTGTGTTTAAGCCTTGATGACTTCACCTGTTTTTGTTGTTTTTATTCCCGTTCTTCCTCTTGTACCTATCTTTATCTTTCTGATGCAGGACTGAATAGGATGCTCAGGTCTTTTAACTTTTTTTTTTTTTTAAGTTTAGCATCCGGCCAGCGCAAGCACATCACAGCAATCTACAGATTGCTGTAGATGTTCTGCTAAGTTTGCTCTGTTCAGAACAAAGCCAGCATGTTGTGGGTGAACAGTATGTTGTCAGTTTTGGGAGAAGAGTGCGTTTCTATGATTCAGCCTGTCTGAAAAATGTGGTTAGATTTTTTTTGCATTTGTAGAACAAGGGGATTTTTGCCACCTTCCTTGATAGGCAGCTCTTACTGTCTTATGAGGGCTGTAACATGCACTTTTTTAAATAACTTGTCACTCATTTGTGAGATGTATCCAGATGAAATGCTTTGGGACATCTCTACCCTGAGTCTCCTTGGATCTCAGATGCCATCATCTCTCCTTGTGGTGCTAAAGTAATGTGGCAGCAGCAGTAACAGATGTTTTGTGTATGTTTTGAGAACCCCTTTATTTTCCCTACTTTATCACATTTTCTCTCTGTCTGTGCTTCAGGTATAGCAATGATGTGACATCATTGCCTTTTCTGCTGGAGATCCTCACAGTGCTGCCAGAGGAGGTTCACAGCCGATCGTTACGCATTGGAGCCAACCGCCGTACTGAAATCATTGAAGACCTGGCTTACTACTCTAGCACTGTGGTCTCTCTGTTGGTAAGCTGACCATGTGGAATAGAGGCATGGGGCAAGCACAACAACTGGTTGCTGTTAAACACCCCACACCTGTTCTGGTAGCCTTGTCCAATGGCTTTTTCCCCTTAAAGAGCTAGCCCAGCTTGGGAACAGTCAAAATGTATCTAGCAGCTACTAGGAGCCAGGAGTCTTGCAAACCAACCCTTAATAGATGAAAGTGTAGCTGGTGCCCTACTGTAAGCAGTAATCTAAGATCTGGTACTAGAGCCTTTTCTTACCTACCTTATCCTTAAGGGCAGCTGGTCTTTCCAGGTTGAGATCCCTTGAAGTCACTGTTGGGAAGGAAGCTTGCTGTCCCACTCTTTCCTGCTCTGTTCTTAAATAGGGGCTTGCAACCACCTGGGCCATCTGTCCAGCATATCTTGTGAACATTAAATTCAGAAAAGATGGCAGAGAACTCAGACTGCTGGGTGGTGACTGGGCAAGAGTGAACCTTTAGCATTGTTCTAGGATAAGATGCACCAATTCACTGGAAAAAGCACTTCGGGGTCCGTGCGTGTAAGGGGCTGTCTTGTATTTTTGCCACAGAGTCTTGCTTACTGGATATTCTCTGAGAATCCAGGCTGCTTGTGGAGCTAACTGTTTGTGGGCACCAAAACCAGGAAGCATTTGTACTAAATAAGACATGGGTTTTAAGGTGGTGATTCTCACCCAACACCCAGGGTCTGTGCCAGGAGAAAAGTGATGCATCTCTTCTCCTTCTGTCTAGTCCTGGGCACCCACAGCTGCTCTCTGCCTCCCCGTAGCCCCTGCGCCAGCTACCCTGTGCAGTGTATTCTGCTGTACATGCACACAGATGGATATAGCAGCTCATCTGCCCCCCAATGCTTCCATGCAGCTGGGGCCAGAGAGACAGGTTGCGGGTGCACATGGTACCAGTCACCAGCACATGAGTTGCCAGGGAGGCAGTCACAGCAGTGGGGACTGCACTTGCCCTTTTAGGGACAGACCAGGGACAGGAGGGAGTATACGTTGGAAGAAGTAGCCCATGGTAGAGATGTCCGACCACTGGCTAGATTTTAGCTTCTCCTGAGTGCTGCAGAATTTCAAAAAACTTATGAAGGAGGGTGCTGTGATGCCAGAAAGGTTTAGAACTATGGGTGTAAGGATTGAGATGGAGAGACGCTGCTCAAAGATTTGAAGAAAATGGCCAAAATCTACCCAACCCCACTCTGTCATTGATTGCCTGTGCTAGATGGTTTCCCCTATTCCTACGTGGTTGCTTGAAATAAATAGGCAGGAGTGACCAACTGGGTCCCTCACTTGAGGCTGTATTGAAATACCACCCAATGTGCCTTAACGCACAGAGTTCCTCATTAATTTTTACCATTTCACGTTGCCTATTTAAATGAGAAACTTAATGTGCCCCCAGCTGTGCATAATAGGACTGTAATTCCACCAAGCATTTGGCTAATGTCACAGAACTCCAGATGGAATCCAACTTTGGTGTATTTAATTATAATATCCAGTCAGAAATTATCTCTGTGCTTTGCCCCTCCATCCTTTCTCTGCCTTGGTGCCCTTCACCTCTGTATCTGTTTGCTCTCTCTGCACTCCTGTCTTCCAGCTGCTTTTCTTTTTGCTTCAGTTCCTTGGTTAATTGAATCATAGCTCTTTTGAAGAGGGAGCAGATCTTAGTTATTTCTCCCTTAAATCTGTCTCTGCTTTAATGCAGGATTGTTCCCCCGTTGTGTCATTAGTCCTGTTTTAATTGACTCCAGTGACTGGCCTTCCACTGCTTCTCTTGGGAATAATTCTGTCACCTTGACCTCACCATTGGAACATAAATTCCCCTCTGGCTTTGGTGTTTTACTTCATATACTTAGTCATTCTGTAGTCAGGCCTAACCATGTTTTTTAACTTTTCTTTGTGAATCAGCTCCACTGACCTTTATTGCCTCTCTTTTGTGGTAGCTCTTTCCTGCATCCCCTCCCTGGCTTGTTTGCATCTTTCTGGTGCTGAATTGCTCAGAATTGGGGCATCATGTTCTGTATGTGAGGGGTTATCACATCCCTGCTGTGTGATAGTCTATCTCTGTCCAAAGATAGCCCCAGCTCGCTTAGTATTTTTCCTTGTTCTGTGCAGGCTTTTTTCACAAGCTCATCTCCTCTGCTGTCGTGTATCATCTCATGATGGTCTCTAATTGGCTTTTTGTATCCCATTCCAGTGAATATCTTTATTGGGGGTTATTTTCCCTGTGTGTAGACTAGCCCACTTTAAATCTTGTTTTATTTTCTATTCATGGTTTTTTTTCAGACTAAGTATTTTTGTATTTCTCCTTGCTGCTGCTTGTAAATTCAATCTCTGTCCTTTCATGTGCACACACTTCATTCTCAAGCACTTAGATCCATCAGTTAGTTGAACATACAAGTTTAGTTATCTCTTCTAGATCATTAGGGAAGATGTCAGATAAAATTAGGTCTGCGCCCATTTTGTGGTATGACATAGCACTGCACTCAGCCTTAATTAGATGGCTTGCCCATAATTTCTCACTTTTGATTTTCCACTAGCTGCTTTTGAAGTTGTCTCCTTTTTCAGGGGAGGAGGCTGAAGGGAAGTAAAGCTCCTTGACAGTTTATGCTCAGTTCAGAGTTCAAAGCTGGCATTGACTAGAAATCTTAGCAAAGAACGTCACTGGTTTCTACCTTGCTTTTTATGCATGATGACTCTAGGAAGCTGGAATTGTAGTATCAGCATTGCAAGTACTTACAAATGGTTTAATTTCCTTGATGTGGTGTTTGTCCAAGGTCAAGCATTGACATGACTTCTGGTCATTATTCAGATGGCACCAAGATAAGAAAGTTGGGGCGGGGGGTGCTAGGGATTATAATTCGACTGCTTATCTGTCAAGTTTGGTATCCTACATCTAAGCTTGACTAATGTCTCATGCCTCAGAGTAAGGGGGACTCTCTCTCTTCTCTTCCAAAAGTATAATATACCTGCACATGCATGATTGGTCATGAAGACCCCATTCCTAATTTTACTAGTTGCTTTAGTCCCGATGCAGAAAGATGGACAGCCTCTTCTAAAATGGACTGGTTTTAAATTTCAGTCTAGTTTAAAGCTGTTTCCATTTCCCTTTCTCAGGCCTGTAGAGTTGTTGCCTTAAATACATCTGCCTCATTTCTTCCCCGTCAGCCCCCAGAATGCTTTCTCAGTGAAGTGATGGAGAGAGGAGAGTTGTCACATTGGTTAGACACGCAAGCTCGCTTTGCACTGACTGCTGATGCCTTGTCAGAGGTGGCAGAGGGAGCTTGGTTTTGAATGTCTGAAGCTGATGCTTCAACATACAGGGTCATAGCCAGGCCGGTTGAAATAAATTATGCCGTTGAACACATTCCCTTGCAATGATCCTGCTGAGCTCCATGAGGAAACGCTGCTGACCTCAGCACAGACGCCATTCTCTGGCGGTTCAGTTGACAGTCCATCTGCAGTTAAGTCTGCTGAGAGCTGGTGGCTTCTTGGGTCAGGCTGTCATTTGTTTGCTTTGCTAGACAGATTGTACCTGGGTTTTTTCTACACCAGCACACCCAGCATATATAAAAGACTTGTTCTGTGTAGGATTTCAGTGCATCCCTTTCAGGTTTCCTTTTTGAATTCCACAGTGGGCATTTTAATTGGCAACCTAAGGAGTCCAAAAAAGGGAGCAGGGGATTGATTAAATGGTAAATTCATTATATGTAACTTAAGCAAAAATTTTATTGCAGTTTTGCAGTACAGGATGGATTAGACCCTGCTGGAGCACTTGGGTTTTTAAGGGGTGCAGTGAAACCATAGGTGGTGTTCTCCCTGCAGTCAGGGGGTAAACCAAGGGGTTCTCTTAGGCTGTGACTGCCCTCATGTTCTCTCCGTTCCTCTTAGCGCAGTAAGGGCTTCTTTGGATCAAGGTACTGGCAAATCTTGCCAAGCAATTGCTGAAGATCATAAGAAGAACCCATCTCTCCTCCCATCTTCCCCAGGGCTGTAGGCTTCCAGCCACTGCCACAACTAAAATTCTTGTGTCTTACAGAACGAATTAAGTGTACTGACTGCTGTCAGCTTGGCCTGCGAGATGGGTATTTTACCTTCCAGCACCTTCACAGAGACCATAGTAACAGAACTATTTTTTTAATGTAGAATATTGGAAAAATCTCCTCTTGAAATTAGGCTCAGTTGAGGTTTTTCTATATATGAAGCTCATTAGGGTCTGGGCTTCATCAGTCTTTGAGACAGGCCCCTGCAGGAAACTGATGTGCGGCAAATGGCAGCAATCCTTCCAGGCTGCATTTCTCACCACGGGCTGTCATAACCGCTGAAGTCAATAGATGTGCTTTGGATCACGTGGAGTACCGCCTGGCCTATTTAGGCAGGGCTGGGGGTGTGCTGTAAACTGTGTACTTTCCTGGGCATGTTTCAGTCCCAGAGTGACCTTCAGGGCATGGTAGGCTGTTTGTATTTCTGTGCATTTTCGCCTCTTGAGGGGTTGGTTTGAGGGGGAAGGGCCAGGGGGTCAGGAAGTACTATGGAACAGTATGTCAACTCTGGGGAAAATTTGTTTCAAGACCCAGAGACCCTGCAAAGAAAGCTTGAAACAGCACAGCATAAACCCTCATAACTTGTGGTCTCCAGGACTACATTATAGCTGTGAAGTTAGGAGGTAATCTTTGGTCACCAAACCGTTCCTTCTCCCTGCTCCTTGTCCCCTAGATGACCTGTGTGGAGAAGACAGGCAATGATGAGAAGATGCTCATCAAGACCTTTCGCTGCCTTGGGAGTTGGTTTAACCTGGGAGTTCTGGACAGCAACTTCATGGCCAACAGCAAGCTGTTATCGCTCCTCTTCGAAGTGCTGGTGAGTGTGTGCTCTTTTTGTTGAAAGGCTCTTCATTGGCTCCCTGTGGGAATGACAATAGGAATGTGGCAACCCTCGAACCCAACACTCCTGTTGGAATCCCACGAGGCCAATTGTTACAGACCATCCTAACTGTTGCATCCCATCCTTCTCGGAAGACTAGTTTGTTCCTTTTCCCCCTGTCTCAACTACTTGGCCTAGGCTGTCCCTCCCTCCAGTGCAGAGAATCTCACACCCTTTCCCCTAAATCAGGCCCTTGATAAGACTCTCTGCTTGCCTTATCAGTGCTAGGTGTAATCAAGTCCAGGCCTGTTCTTCCCCAGAGTTTAGTTTCTCAATCCCCTCCTGGCTTTCAGCTGGCTGGGGCAGCTAAGGACTGGCAGCGTAGGGCAGAGATCTTTCATACCTAGAATCTAGTTCTGGTTGGGCCTCCCAGAGGTCAGACACACTCATCTTCCCTTACACACTGCTCCGTAGTGGCACTTGAAGTCAGGTAGTTCCCTCCTGACTAATACCCAGTAATTAGAGCTACTAAAGCATGAAAGAAAAGTTTTCTATTTTTTAAGAAAGTGCTTTATCTGCCCACTGCCTGTGTCCTGAGGTCACAATCCAACTTCTTTGGGACAAACTGGTGCTGTCACTAATCTGACATGACACCCAGAGTTCAGGAGAACATTTTGTGCACACAAGTTCTAGGTGATTTTTCAGCTTGACTCTGTTCAGGTCTGGATCAGAGAACTTGCAGGCAAATGTAAAAAGCCATTTTTAAATGGACGCTGTAGGGTGGAGTTTGTCCCCAGTGGGGTGGCAGAAGATGTTGGTTTTAGTCTTGCAGTCCTTCATCATTTGAGAGAGAAGTGGCCAGCAAAAGTCTGTTAGTTCACAACACTAAGAAGGAAACTTCTCTCCTGGACTCAAGTGTGAAGCTGACTTGGAGGGGAGCCACACAAACAGAATTTTTGTCATCTGAGCCAGAGAGATTACCAAGCTCTCTACTAGATGAAGACCACAGGCCAGAGGTCCTGGCAGACCTTCAGAAAGCACATTCATGACCTTCTCCAGTGTGGCTGTTTCCTCAGGCAGAGGGGAGTCACTTTTCTACTTCAGGGTCCCCGTCCTATCATCTCCCCCAACCACTGACTATTCAGATAGGAAAAGAGTTGCTCAGTGATGAAAACCATTAACTGGTCTTCAAGTGCATTTGAAATACCTGAGTCTTGGCTATGTAAGCACTTTAATTAAGACTAGAAAAGAAGCTTCTGGCCCATTGGCCTTACTTAGTTTTGACTGCACTATTCTCAACTGTCCAACTGCAGGAAATCCCTTATTCATCATCGCTTGGGACCCAGTAGTTCTGGCATCAGGCAGGGATGAGCAGGTATCTGGGGAAGTAAAGGTGGACACAATTTCCAGGTACAGCAGGTTGGTTCAAGACAGGACTGAAGTGAGCATAGAAAGGCTCTGCCTTGCAGAAAGCTTTTCAGTCATGTTGCCACAGATCTCTTAATCTTTGCAGAGCCTATTATATACTTCTGGCAGACCGTGCTTCTGAAAAGAAGTTTTAAAAATAATTTAATCCTCTATTTATACCCTTTCTCCTGTCCTGACTGTCTTCACTATTCATCATTTTCCTCAACCTGTATTACAAGTGTGCTTTGTCTGCTGGGAGCCAGGTACTAGCATTCTGTGCTGGTTTCTGCCACTGATGTTTTGTGATCTTGAGTACCTTTGACCTCAGTGTTACCCATCTGTAAAATGGCTGTTCTAGGAGTGCTGGTCAGCGATTACAGTAGTTCAGGTTTAAAATCTGGTTTTATTCCAGTTCATTTTCTTCAGTTGTTCAAAACTTATTCAGGCAAAATATAGTTTTTGATTCAAAATCAGTGGTGTCTGATCTCTGCTCAGAGTTGAGCTCTTGTACAGAGCTTTGAGCTGACCCTCCTCAGCATTTCATTACGTTATGGAAATATCTGGAATAAGTTTTCTGCTACCCCTGGGATTTAAAGGATTTGCACTTTAACTTTCAAAGCTCAGAAAGTTCAAACTTGGCCCATTATGTAACCCTCAATGAAGAAGCAAAATTGGTTTCATGCTCTTAGGTTATGAACATTAGGTCAGTATTTTATTCCTGATGATCATGGGTTTAGCTCTCCTTTTTTTGACAGCATAGGACAGTTGTTTCAGGGATGTATCATCTTTATAAGTGTCGGAGCTCTAAAGGGACTAGTAAAACAGAAAGAATAAATAACACCCTTCTAGAATGAATCTAACTGGCAGATTAAAGAACAGAGTGCATGGAAGGAAGAAATTCCCAAAGCATAAAGGGAATTTCTTGTTTTGTGCATAAAGGGAATTTCTTCTGCAGTGTTGATGCTGGATCTGTGCAAGAGGTCTGAAATTCTCTTCCTTTTTTCCACTGTCAGATGGGGACCTTTATTTGCACTTGTGGTGTGATATAGAGGAAGTAAATAACAGTTCCCATTTCACAATGGAAAAAAAGAAGAGACAATATTTGATCCGTGCAACAGGTCCAAGTTAACACTGTAGGAGAAACCTTTACACTTTTGATCATTTTTGAATGCTTGGCTCTTCAGCCTTTAATTGCATGAACACAAGTTTTTCATCCTGCCCTACCTTCATCACATGGGATCATAAGGCCAAATTTACACTTGACAAGTGCTTTGAGATCCTTTTCTGAAGCAGCATCCCTAGGTATACATGGTGGTGGTGTTTCTTCATCTCTCTCCTGTCTATTCTTGTCTTAGGAGGCCAGTCCTGTCTCCTTTTTGAATTGCTCTTGGCTCTATGGGAGCCATTAATGCTCTGTCAAATTAGCCTTGTACAATTAACATGTATGTTTATCAGCCAGAACCCCAAAATCTGCTCATCTGCCCTAAACCACCACCATGAAAAATATGACATGCACATGAGAAATCTCTCCTCCTTCCCACCCAAGAGAACAGACCAGCAAAATGTTTCCAAGCTGCTGAAGTACCACAGGCTGGAGATTCCCATCATTCTGTTTTTCCTTTGCTTGTGTGTCCCATAGAGAAGTTCTAAAAGGACATTGGTGAGATCTCAACACCCAAAGGAGGTACAGCAGCAGACAGTGAAGAGACAGCAGAGGAGGTGGTGCAGGGGTGGGGCTTTCATGCACTGAAGCGTGGTGAAGGATTTTGGGACAAAAGTGTCTTAGTGTCCTTAGGTGCCATCTCACTTACTGTATAATCTCGAGGCTCACTTCCTCCCCTTGTGTCTTACAGCAACAGGACAAGACCTCGTCCAACCTGCACGAGGCAGCCTCTGACTGTGTGTGCTCAGCGCTCTACGCCATCGAGAACGTGGAGACAAATCTGCCCCTTGCATTGCAGCTCTTTCAGGGGGTCCTGACACTCGAGACTGCCTATCACATGGCTGTAGCACGAGAGGATTTAGACAAGTGAGTGAGCGAGCCTGGCGGGCCCCTATAGAGCAGGGAGAGCTGCAGTAATGAACTGCCATTGTCTCTCCAGAGTTATTTTGGGAATCTGTTGTGTTTGTGCAGCTCTCCGAAATCTCTCTTATGCAAATGATTATTCATTGAACAGAAACAAGTGAGCTAATGATTCCTTTATGCCCTCAATACACCAACCAGAGCCAGTGGGGAGTGATCAGCTCAAGCTTTAACAGGTGGAGTTTAACACTACGAGCTCAGACTTGTCATGCCTGTCTTAACACAGGACAGCAGAAACTGTGCCAGTGTGTGGCTGTTTGTGATGAATGAAGATGGAAGAAGTGGGGAGCCTCCTTGATGCATCCCCAGCCTCTCTTAGGGCAGAGCTGCATGTTTCTCTTTAAGTGGGCAGTAGCTTAGCATTTCTGATGTCAGTTTATGAAGTTGTGGACAGAAATTAAGTACCATTTTTTTAGGAACATGGACCTGGATGTAACTACTATGTCGCCCAAATGCGTTTTCTGCTGTTGCAGGCAACCATGTTGTAAGCTGATCACTCTCTGTCTTCAAGCTCCTCTTAGGTTTTTTTTTCCCAGATATTCTCAAAGCTGCTCCAGAATCCCGCTCTGATGAGAAATCTTCATCTAAATTCCAATCTGCATCTGTTCCTGACCAGTTTACACTCATGTGCTCTTGTGCCAAAGTTGCCTCCTAACTCTCTCCCCCTGGTTTTTATCTGCAGAATTTATGGAGTGCGATAGCATCCCCTCTCAGCCTTCATTCTGCCAGACTAAAGCCAAATCTCTTTCAGCCTCCACTCATATGATAAGCTGTTCTCTGCCCCTGTTCCCTTTGAATTCATGTTACTTGAACGTGGATGGTCAGAATTGCATAGATTGCTCAGGTGAAGTCTTCTCAAGATCTTCCCTGCCTCTGTTTGGAGATGCCTCACCTGCCCATACTAGGATTGTGTTTGCCTTTTCACTGCTACATGACATTTCTCAGTAAGGTTGGACTGGTGTAGCTATGATGGACCGGGAAATGTATGAGAAGAGAGGGTTTTGGGTGTTATCTTTTGATGGACTGGCTGTACAGTTGGGAGAGATGTTTGAAAAGTTTTGGGGCCTGAAGTACATTTGGTAACTCAGTCATTCTGTGACTGATAACCCCTGCACCCAGAGTTTTGTCCTTGATACTTTCCAACAGAGGAGCTTCCAGTTCATGGCAGAAATTTTTTGATACCTAACTGTGCAACCAGGCACTTAATACCATTACATTTCCCCATTTCTATTATTCCAGTTTTAAAGTTCATCTTATTCTTCCTGTGTGATTTTCTGGTCCTCCCCTGCACTGACAATACCTTCCAACTTTAGGTCATCTCCAGATGTTGTTAGCAGACTCCCCTTTTCTTTGCTGAGGTTACTAATGAAAAGACTTTTTATGAAAGATCATTCCCAAAAGTTACTAGTAGCTTCCCTCCATCCTTTCAGTACAATACTGTTATTTCCATTCAGCTAGTTCCTTACCAGTCTTCGCATTCTTGAACTCCTCTCCATCCTCTAATAAATTTCTCATGTGACACCATGTCAAATGCTCCAGCTTTTCTGTTACTTAGAAAATTACTTGTACTGGCAAACATTAGGTTAGTTTGGCACAATCTACCTTTGACCACTTGTATTTTATTTTATTTCCATTTACCAGCCTGTCTTTGGATAGAAATAATTAAAGCTTTGCACATTATCAAGGTCACACCAGCAGGCAGTGGTTGCCAAAATAATATTATGCACTGTCTTAAATATAGGTGATAGATTTGTTCTTCTCCAGCCAACATGGTGCCACCTGCAGTGTCAGACTTGTTTAAAACTGCTTGCTAGAGGAGTTGCAAAATTCTAAAACTCCTGGTTCAGAGATGATACCTTTTATTAGACCAACTAAGAAATCTCAAAAATATTATCTTTCTTTAAAAATTTTTGGGCTCACGTGCTCTTCCTCAGGCTTAGGGAAAATTAAAGATGGTACAAGTCCCCATAGGTAGAAAAATACATTTCATTTTGCACAGAGGAATTTGTGATTTGTGCCAACTTTTGCAGTATTCTGAGCTGTAGATTGTATGTTTCTCCTGACCTGAGCTCCTCAAGCACCTTGGGTTCTGCTTCTCTCATATAAAACTTGTTCAACCTATGCTCTCATTCCTGTTGGCCATCCTACTCTTGCCCCATGTTTAGTCATCACATTGAGTAGAAGCAAAGTATCTATTTAATTGATAGGCCATACATGCATAGATTCTTTAATCTTGAACTTTTACTCCCTGAATAGCAACCTTAATTCTTTCCTTGCCTCCTCCTTATTTATGTGGCTAAAGAATCTTTTACTGTTTGTTTCTTTTTTTTTTTTTAATTTTCTTTTGCAAGGACTAACTTTGCTTGGCTTTTTGGCTGTTCTCATTTTATCCTTATACCTCCTGGGCTCCAAAAGGCAGTGTTCTTTACTGATCTGTTGTGGGTTCCTTGTAGTGCTCTGTTTATTCCTAATTTCCTTTTTTGGGTGATTTGTTCAGCCAGTTAAGTCTGGAGTTCTGCCCTATAGGAAGTTTTTCTTGTTCCTTGAGATACAAATTCCACCTTACTTGTACATGTTTGATTTGAAGAAATTTCAGGCCTCCTGCATATTCATGTCCTCAAGTTCATCCATCCAGGTAACTTCTCTAATTAATTCCCTTTGTTTTAGCAACCATTTTGTAAGTGAAAGCCTTAGTCACAGACTTTTGCTTGGTTTTTATCCTCTCATTTAAACTAAATGAAATCAACTCATTGTTACCTGATTCAGGTTTACTTTTTATAACTAATTCTTCTGGGATGTTCCCAGACTTGCATGGACTGAGATATCCACAGAAGTGCTTACGTGGTGATGCTGCTATCTGAAGAAATTGGTCTGCTCTCCCATACTTTGGCCCCTACTGCTCATAGTAGCATTTGTTCTCTAGTCTGTATCTGCAAAGTTAGTACTGCATAATGACACAGTTCTTAGCAGCGTTTATCTTGCTAACAATGTGGATAGAGATCTCTAAAAATCAGATCCAATCCTAGATCCATAGAAATCTCCTTTACCATTGCAACCACCATGATTTTGTTTTATCCTGCCTGTCCCTTGTTTCTTTAAAGCTGTGATCAAGGTGCTATGGTGGTAGGCTCTGTACAGAGTAAGGAGGAGCCCTTATCCCAGAGTTCCCTTTTATCTGTTCTTTCAACTTACAGGGTAGCGAAATGGGCAGAAAATTTTGAGGGAGGGAAAATAAGCTGGCCACAGTCGCACAATGTCAACGCCAGGAATAGAACCTGCGCTTTCTGCCCCTTCACTGAACTCCGTTTGCTGGCTTAACTCCTTTCCACCCATCTAGGGGAATGCCCAATTCAAAGGGGAAAGAAGAGATACTGAGGTAGTGTCTCCTCCTGACCCTGAATTAGAAAGCAGGAGTTAATATCTCAGTCCTGTGCTTGGCTCTTGAGACCCTGCAGTCTTACACTGGCCTGTACTCCAAATCCTCTGGTGCCAAGGAGTGTACATTCTTCAGCCACTTTTCACTGTCTTAGGTAGGAAGTGGAAAGAAAAGATCAGAACCAAGGCAGTCATGCTGGTTACACTGAGGAGAACCTTTGTAGTTGAGTTCAGCAGCTTAGACTTATCTTCTAAAGCCACTGCAGGGATGGTAGCTGTTTCACTGCATACGCCCAGCTAGACAAGATGCTGTGAAAATCAAGGTTGATATCGCCTGTGTCCTATAAGTTTTTGATTCACATACTTATGCACTCTGAGACTTCATGCGTTCCCTTCCTTCTGGTACTGATACATGCCGTTCTTGTGCTGAAAGCAGTTGGCATCAGTTTTTGGCAGACTCTTCAGTGTCTGTTTGCTGTTGTGGAGATGGATGACAGAAACTGTCGTCTGAGCCAGTCTTCAGAGATGCCATGGCTACTTACCTTGTCGAGTTTCACTTGGTGGAACCCAGATTAGGCCATGCTGTGGTCTGTGCCTAAATCAGAGTAACAGCTGGTATCTCGGACACAGTATACTGTAGCCCACTTCTCTATTTTCTCAAAACTTGGAGGTGAGTTTAGAAACCCCTTGTGATGAAAAAGCCAAAGTGCAAGAATTTGGTATACCTGTGCCTCTACAGCAGTTGTTCTCAACCTTTTTACGCTCGGGGCACCCCTTGGAAAATATCAGCTCTTAATTTTTACTTGCCTTTGGCTACAGAAAAATACCAGAGCAATTTTACTGTTGCAAAGTACTCAGGAAAACCAGAATAGGTCAGAATGTTTTTAACACTAAGGACTCCTAATTGAAATCTCTGCATTTATCTTTTGAATCATGTTTGTACACTTAACAGTGCTAAAGCTGCATGGCACCCTAGGAAGGATCTCAAGGTACTCCAAGGTGCTGAGAATAACAGATCTAGATCGAAGTCCAAATGCAAGAAACTTTGTCCCTGTATTTCAATATCTGGGATTAGATATTTGCCTGGGAAATTATTTGTTTTTGACTTGTTTCCTTCTTTCACCAGGGTGCTTAATTACTGCCGTGTCTTCACTGAACTCTGTGAGACGTTTCTAGATAAAATTGTGTGCACCCCAGGCCAGGGGCTGGGTGACCTGCGGACCCTAGAGTTGTTGCTGATCTGTGCGGGCCATCCGCAGTATGAGGTAGGCCTTCTAGCTCATGCCTTGCATTTTCACATTTCCCAAATCAATTCAGTGGCAAAAGCTGTTCTTACTGTATCATGTGTGGGTCCATTTTAGTTGTCTGAAGATGACAGCCTTGAAACCCTTGCTGTTTGTTTGTGGTGGGGAAAGAATACAGTTTAACTCCCTTTAGCGCCTGAGGCAGAAGGCTTGGGTACAACCTCATGGTGATGGAAGAGGTACTGAAAACCTATGAAACCTCTTGCTATTAAAAGGCTGTTCTGTGCTAAATTTTCACCCCAATTTATTTTGCAGTAACTTTCCCTGGGCCAGACTAGCCCTTTATAGTGGAGGCCCCAGTGGGGACAACACTGACCAGCTCTTTTGTCTCCAAACAGGTGGTAGAAATTTCCTTTAACTTCTGGTACAGACTGGGGGAGCATCTATATAAAACGGAGGACGCAGTCATACACAGCATCTTCAAAGCCTACATACAGAGACTTCTCCACGCACTGGCCAGACACTGTCAGCTTGACCCAGACCACGTAAGGCTGCGTTCAGTTTCCTTTTCTCTCTTTCTCCACTCTTCCTGAAGGCCATAGCAGGCAGCAGGGGAGGGGGCATGGTGGCGAGTGAAATGCATTGTGCCAGTTGTCATTACTAGGCAGGAGGCCATGCATGTAACTGAGGGGGCCCCGGCAGATGTTAATTTAATCACACAAGGAGTCTAAGGAATGTTATCATAACAGTTGTGCATCCTGCTATACCAGACATTCAAGGGCTGGCACAACAAGATGCATGAATGCTGATCTGGGATAACGTTTCTCAGATCCCATCACATGGCTGGTGGGGCATACAGCTGGCTGCACTCTCTGTGGACCTGTCAACCTGGCACTGGACTATGTGGCATGGCTTTGAGTGTCCCTGTGTGGAGGTAGCCCATCAGTTGTCCACGGTGGGACACTTAGTCACATCATTCAGCCTGATACTAGGCTGTATTGTTGCATTCAAATTAAAGCGCGATACAAACCAACCACAAAGATTCCATACATTAATTGTGTGATAAATGTAACATCTGCCAGGGTCTGCAGCTAGGCTATTTTGTGGAGGTGAGAGGGTTGGACAGTGAGGAAGGTAGTCACATGTTTAGAGGATGCATGATATGACATTCCCCTCCCTTCAGGAAGCCAGCATGTGTGCCAAGAGGCTGCTATGCTACCTGTGATGCCCTGAATGATGACTCGGGTGGGAGAGGGAGGATGTGTGTGTGTGTGTGTGTGTGTGTGTGCATGTGTTAAGGGGAGGGTGTTAGACTCATGCTGGAAGGTCTAACTTTGAGGCTCTCCATCCTTGTGCTTCCTTCACCCTTGCTGACATGCTGGTGTTTTGAAATTGCAGGCTAAACACCAAATCCTGATCCACCTGCTGGGCATCTAGAGGGCATGTATGTGTCTAAGTGTGAGCCTATTCCACTGAAGCCCAGGTGCCTGAAAGCCCCTAATGCATCTAGTTTTGTAGCACGTTTTTATCTTGGTTTTAGATTAAGCCAATAAAAACCATTTGCATTTGTGGCATTTCAGGGACCTCAAGCAGGGTGGAATTAGGGTCACACTTAGTCTAAGTACTGCTTAGACACCTAACAGGTGAATAGGACCTGGCCATAAGTATTCCTGCAGCTTGCTAAACCTGCATGTCCTCCTCTCCCTTATTGATTGGGTCTGGGTAGGTTTTAAGATCTTGTGCCACCCCGGCTGTATTCATCCATTCCCTCACTTTTCTGGCTCTGAAACGGTTGGGATCTTGCATCTATTTGGGGAGTTTGCTACAGGAAGGGTGCATGGCCTTTTAATGCAGGAGCAAGAAGGTAGGAAGTATCGTTGTCCTGCATCTTGGTGTCCACTCTTCTGCCTTCCAGTTCCCACAATTCCCTTCACCTCTAGCTGGGTGCAGAGGAGAAGACTGCAGGGTTCTGAGTTGGTACAGAGCACAGGACTGCAGGGTTCCAAGGTTATTTGACTATAAACAGCTTGTCTTGCCCTCGATGTGGGTAAACCAAGACCAAGATTTCTCTTTCCTGCCGTAACCCCACTCCTCCCAACCTTCCGTGTCTGCCAGGAGGGTGTCCC